ACAATGCGGCCGCTCCGCTGGAGGACGGGCTGGAGAGAACGGGCTGGAGTCGCTCCAGGAGCGAGGGACGGGGATAAATAGCGACGTTTCGGTCGCAGGAGGTGATGGAAGGCTGGAGAAGCGCCCAGGGGCACCTTTGGGGTGGTCGTGGGGTTGGAAGGTGCCCGCAGCCCCTCGGCAGCCCCGTCCAACAACACAGAGCTGCTCCGGGTTCAAAATCCCGGACTAAACCTTAAACTGCCTGACCAAACCTTGAAAATCCCAGACCAAACCTTAAAATTCCTGGACCAAACCTTAAAAATCCCACACCAAGCCTTCTCCTTTCAATGTTTTTTTCACCCTCCACCATGTTTGGTTTTTGTTTTTTTTTTTTTTTTTCATTTAATACACGAAGGGAAATGTTTCTCCAGGTTATTTTTTGCCCCTTCCTCTCAGCACCAGCCCTGCAGGAGCCCTGGAGGATCAGCAGCAGCAGATCCACCCCTTCCTCACAGAGCTGACCAGGTGTGTCCCCCGTGGGCCACCACAGCTCAGTTTGGGCACCTGTAGCAGTTTAAGGGGCTGGAATAACAAGATGCAGCTGTAGGATGCAACACACCCTCCCCAAAGGTCACCCCCCAAGAAAGACTGAATGTCACCTCCATCATCATCACAGGCACCATCGAGCTGTAGCTGGAACCAGCTGACAGGGAAAGGAAAAGACAAGCTAGAAATGAGTTTAATCTCATTTTGAGTCATCCAGGTTCCCCCTGGAACCTCTCCTTGCTCTGGGAAAACACAAACTGGTTCCCCTCAAGGTCCCACCGTGTCCCCCCCGGCTCCTGCTCTGCCACTTGCTTTTATTGTTTACATTTTTAAGTCAATTTATCATGGCCCATCAAGTGGGGACGGGCTGCCCTGAGCACACAAGCCCCTTTCAGGTCTCCCTCAGACAGCTCCACAAAGGGAACATTCATCCCAGGCCGGGCCATGAATAAACCCCTCACTGAAAGGAGCTGCTGAGCCAAGGGAGGGGACAAAGGGCCCTTTCAGGGCCAGCACGGCCAGGGGGGCACGAAGGAAGCTCCCTGGGACACACATTTACAGTGCAACCCCCCCTCCTCCCCCTCCCCAAATGATAATTCCCGAGATGATCCCAAATATTCCAGGGCAGGAGGGCCCAGCTGAGGGTTCCAAGGCTGCAGAGTCTGGTGGGTGGGACACAAGGATGAGCCCAAGGCCACGATCCCAGGGTTGTGTCCCAGGACACTTCCAGCTCCCCACGTGCTCCAGGAGGGATGCCCCAGCTCCAGGACACATGTCCTGGCTCCAGGACACTCCTAAGGCTCAGGCTGAGCCTATTAGGGCAGGATTAGTTTTATTGTGGGAGTTTTCCCCTCTCACCAGCAGTAAAACCCCCCCAGCCAGGGATCCTTCTCCCAGGGGAGGCTGAAGGTACAGGAGTTGTGGTGGGATGGACTGAAGGAAGATCCATAACTCAGGATTGATCCAGGTGCTGAGTGCAGGTGCTTAAAACCTTCACACTCTCCCACCTTCAAACCCTCGGTCCTGGAGTGGAACCACCAGAATTCCAGAAATTACAGGGGCACAGAGATCCAGAGGAGGCTTTATTAGGAATGTTCAAGGTGCCAGGGTTGCACCCTCCTGATCTGCACGGGAGCTGACCCAGAGTTCAGGGCCCGGGGGAGGCTTCGAGCCCCCAAAATTCGGGTGCTGGACACAGGCACAGCCCCACCCCTGCTGGAGCACCAGGGTGAGGTGAGGCCAGGCTGGTCTGCAGAGGGGATTTTCCATGTTCCAGAGGGCATTTTCCATGTCCCAGGGAGGATCTGAACAGGAAGCCCAGTGCCCAGGGCTGGTCCCTCAGGCACTGGGTGCGTACTGCAGGGCCAGCCGGTCGAAGTCGTTCTCCTGCAGGCAGAGGCAAAAACAAAGGAATAAATCCAAACTTCCTTGGGAATCTGATAAAACTCTGCCTTAACTGAAGAGAACAGCTCACTAAGTCCAGGGGAATTCCAGGAAACGAGATCACCTGCACTGATTTTTTTTCAGTTTGCTTCATTTTCCCTCTCCCCAAATTCTATTTGATGTCTGGAATTCCCTCCATTTAATGTTTCATGGCAACAAACTTCCACTTGGATTAAGAACCTGTTCCTCACATGGTCAGGTACATCCCACCTGGCTTGTGCTTCCCAAAAGTCTCTCCCAAGGGCTGGAAAATTTAACTCAAGAGTGACAGGGCAGGGACAAGGAGCTGCCCCCTCAGGCCAGGACTCAACGGCCCCATCACAACTGGATCTGAGGCCCAATAAATTCAACTTCATATCATTTATTTCTATCCTGTTCTGTTCTATACCTTTGCCTGATACTCCTTGATGAAGGGGTGGTTTTTGTGAGCATCTTTCAGCTGTGACAGGTAACGATTCGTGACCTGCTGGGGGGAAAAAACCAAAGTTAAATGTTCAAATAACAGGAGGAAAAGCCAAAAGTGCAACAAATCACCCCTCAAAGGGTTTGTTCACAGCCAAAAACCTGCTTTTCTCAGTGTCCCCCACGTCAGCAGCCCCAGTGAAAACCAGTAAGATCTTTTAAAACCAGTCAGACCCGCAGGCCCTTAATAAATAATAAAATAAAACACCCCTAAATAAATTATAAAATACTTAAAAATAAACCTGAAATCGTGGGTTTAAGTGAAAAGAAAAATCAGCAGGAGCTGAGCTTAGAACTCAAGTGATTTCTTTCTGCCCAGGCCTTCCTCTCAATGTCATGGAATGGTTTGGACCTTAAAGATCATCTAATTCCAAGCCCTTCCGAGGGCAGGGACATTTCCCAGGTTGCTCCAAGCCCTGTCCAAACCTGGCCCATGTCCTCTGTATTTCCACAAACTCTCCTTTAGGGGTGTGAGCTCCCCACCCCCAGAACTATTCCCAGATCCTGCTGGGGACACACAGAACTCCCAAAAAACTCCGACAAACGCGGCCTCACCTCCGGAGCCTTTCCCAGGTGCTGTGAGAGCACCACGAGGTTCAGGAGGGTCTCAGGGTGGCCACTGTCCTGCAAGGAACAACAGCCACTGAGTGCTGGGATCCACAGCCTGCAGGGAACAGCCCTGCCCAACCCCCTGCCCTGGGAATGGGAACAGGGACGGGCACCAGGACGGACAAGGGATGGAGGGACAGGAGCAGGGAATGGCTTCCCAATGCCAGAGGGAGGGTTAGGTGGGATAGTGGGGGGGAATTCCTCACTGGGAGGGTGGACACGGGCTGGGATGGGTTTCCCAGAGAAGCTGTGGCTGCCCCTGGATCCCTGGAAGTGTCCAAGGCCAGGCTGGGGCAATTTGGGATAACGGGAAGTGTCCCTGCCCATGGCAGGGGGTGGAACTCCATGACCTTCAAGGTCCTTCCACCCTAAACCATCCTGGGATTCCACCTTCAACCAGCCAGGGATTCCAACCCAAACAATCCTGGGATTCTACCCCAAATTATCCTGGGATTCCACCCTAAACCATCCTGGGATTCCAGCCCAAACCATCCTGGGGTTCCACCCCAAATTATCCTGGGATTCCACCCTAAACCAGCTAGGGATTCCACCCCAAACCTTCCTGGGATTCCACCCTAAATCATCCAGGGATTCCACCCTAAATCATCCTGGGATTCCAACCCAAACCATCCTGGGGTTCCACCCCAAATTATCCTGGGATTCCACCCTAAACCAGCCAGGGATTCCACCCCAAATTACCCTGGGATTCCACCCTAAATCATCCTGGGATTCCAGCCCAAACCATCCTGGGATTCCACCCTAAACCAGCCAAGGATTCCACTCTAAATCATCCTGGGATTCCACCCCAAACCAGCCAGGGATTCCACCCCAAACCATCGTGGGATTCCACCCCAAATTATCCAGGGATTCCACCCCAAACCACCCTGGGGTTCCACGATCAGCCCCACCCTCAGCGACACCGATCCCTCCACTGGCATTTCCATGAATTTTCCCGGTGAAAGCCCCCTCTGCTCTCCCCAGCACCCCCCTGAGAGGTGGCAAGAGCAGGCAGTACCTTGTCCAGGGCCTCCTGGAGAACTCCCTCGGCGTCCTCCCACTTGCCCTGGGCCATGTAACAGGCAGCCTGCCCGTTCAGCAGCAGCAGGGTGGGGGAACACTTGTCTGCCATCTCTTGGAAAATGTAATAAGCATCTTGGAGCTTCTCCCCACCCTGCAAAACACCCCCAGGCTCATCACCTGCTGCCAGGAAGCCCCCAGAACCTTGAAGCACCGGGGGCAAAGTTAATTTCTAAAGGTTACAAAGGGAAATCCTGGAGCACCAACACTCCCTGATCCCTGTGATCTCCTGCACCACAACACAGCAGCCAGAGCAGATCAAAGAAATGCATAAATATTAAATATTAAGAACCACTTAAATGATCAAATGAGCCAGGCTTGTCTTCAGAAAGGAAAAAAAACCAACAAAGTCACTTCAAAAGAACCACTTCACGTGTCTGACGTAACAAAGGAGGTGAAATGAGGTTCTTATGATTTTTTTTTTTATAATTAAACACCTGGGTTTCTCAAAAGGTTCTCCATCCAGGAAGGTTCTAGATCCAGGAAGGTTCTACATGCAGTGGCTGCTCCAGTTGGAGGTGGGATTCCTCATGGAAACCAAGACCTTGAGGAAAATCCAGCCACACACTGATTCAAGGCCAGGGCTACACATGAGAGGTTTCACACCAAAAACCAAGTGAACTCCAAAAAGAAATAGTTTTGATGGTCCAACAGGTTGTTTCCTGTGCAACCTTGGACTTCAATGAATTTTAGGGGTTTTATTTTCAATCTGGCCTGCCAAGCTGAATGTTCTGATTCACAAATGTGCTTAAGGACAGGCTGCTCTAAGCACAGGAAGATGCTTTTTTCTTGGAGCCTGGGAAGCAGGAGCAGAGCATTCCCACCCTGGGATGTCTGGGGGGTTATTTAACTGTGGTTCAGCTCCTCCTGTGAGGAGGAAGAGCACCAGACCAGCCGGTGGGTTTGTGAAACCAACCCCCCCCCAAAATGTTCTGTGTGTTAAAAACTCAGCCCTGGGTGTTCTGCTGGAACCAGGACGTGAAAAGAGCCCCCAGGAACAGGAGCTGTCGTGGTTTTTTGGGGGCTGTAGGTCAGGGATCCCTGTCCCAGGTACCCACCACGGCCAGGTTCACCCAGGCAGTCGCCAGCTGGGTCAGAGTTGCATCCTCATCCTGCTCCTGCATCTTCTTCAGCTCCTTCCTGCAGGAGATGGAGTCACACCAGAGAAAGAAAACAACTCCTCTAAGACCCAACCAAAGGGCTGTGGTTTCTCCTCCCAGCTGGGAACGTGACAAACCCCTCAATATTTCACTGGAACAATCCATGAGACACTTCCCTGTTTTACTTCCCCAGAGATTCCCACCACGTCCTGCTGAAGGGAAGACCCAAAACCTCGAGGTCCAGCCCTGCCTTTGGCCATTCCCAGCTCTGGTTTTGCAACTTGAGGAGCAAAACCACCCGTGGTTGTGTCACTGCAGGAGCTGGATTTTCCCTCCCTCGAGGCTCTTCCCACACAAACACCACCAGAGAGCAAAGGGAGACAAACCCACCGGGCCAGGTCGAGCCTGTCGAGCTTCAGGAGGATCTGGATCATCATGGCCATGCTGGAAGGAACAAGAGAACAGGGATTTCCACAGCTGGACTCCAGGATCCTGCTGGGATCCAGCTCAGGGGGTTGTAGGATGAGGCCCTGGAATGGATCTCCCAGAGGAGCTGTGGCTGCCCCATCCCTGGGAGCGTCCCAGGCCAGGTTGGACACACTGGTGGATGATTTTTAAGGTCTTTCCAAGCCAAATCACTGTGTGATTCCCTGGGCTGAGCCTGGGAGGCTGCTCCCAGCTCCCTCCCTGCCACACTGCCCATCTCAGCAGCCAGAGCCTGCCAGGATCCATCCCCAGGCTCCCACATTCCCAGGGGAGCACCAAACCCCTCCAAAGCCAAACCCCTGAGGAGCTTCCTGGTGCTCCTGAGGCTCCTCTGAGCCAGGCCAAGGCCCAGCCAGGGCCACCCTGCCCTTCCTGGGGC